AATAAATAAATAAATAAATAAATGCTTGAATAAGTAAACTACGCCGGTATTAGTAAATGCTTGAATAAGAAAACAGATGGGTGGGAATGAATAAATCTCCAAGCAGAATTCCAAATAATTAACACAGATATTCTGCTCCTAAGGAACAGAGTATAACTCTCCATATCACTGCTGGCAGTGACTACCTTCCAAAGAGTACAGCATGGGAAAGGGGAAAAAGGAGTGACTAATTTACAGTGGAGAAATCTGACAAACACAACCTCAAACCGGGTGATCTAGGCTGATATCAATAGTGAAAAGTCATACTGACAGTAATACTCTTGTGTTTGGTGTGTATGTGTGTGTACATACATATTTATCAGATACCTTTTATATGATAAGAATGACACTTTACCTCTGTGGTCTTCTTCCCAAAAACATATTACCCCATTCTAATATCATGAGGGACGTTCTAAAATACCTAGCCAGTACTTGTCAAACTGTCAAGGTCATCAAAAACAAGAAGTCTGAGAAACTGTCACAATCAAGAGGGACCAAAGAGGCATGACTACTAAGTGTAATGTGGTGTGCTGGATGAGGTCCTGGAACAGAAAAAGGACATACAGGAAAACTGAGGAGATCTAAATAAAGTATGGAGTCTAGTTAATAAAATACTAGTTCACTATTTGTGACAAATGTACTATACCAACATAAGAGGTTAACAGTAGGGGAAACTGCCTATGAGGAATACAGGAACTCTCTGTACTTTCTCTGCAATAATTGCATAAATCTAAAACTGTTCTAAAATTAAAAACTCATGTTTTTATATATTGCCCTGCTCCCCCCTCCCCCCATAAGGTTCTGCTAAGGAAAGGAACAATTTCGCTGCTTTGGATGAAAGCTGTCACCCCACTACTACAGGGTGGCTCATCCAGGAGGCTGAGCTCAGTCTGGCTGGCTTGCGGCAATGCTTAAAGTTCACTGCACAGCCTGGGACAGTTCTGGTATACGGTTTGCCAGAATTCATTATCAGCATCACAACACATTTATAAACTGGCTATCATTCAAACTTTGCAAGATGACGAGACAAAGTTGAGAAAATACTTTTAAAACCAGGTTAAGTCAAACCATTGAAAGAAAGAAGGGAGAGATGGAGACAGGAGAAGAAAGCACAGGGAAAAAGGCCCACCCCCACCTAAGACGAACGGCCTCTCTGAGCACCCCAACACAGGGCACCGCTGTCCATCAAGCCGTCCGATACTTTTCTCCTTTTCTAACATAAACATTTCTAATCTATACATACTTTTAAAATACTTGACAAATCCCTAAAACTCATGATTACAACATCAAACCAGCAAGCTGAAAAACAGTTTGTCAGTCCTTAAATAAGCTTATGACATCTATGTTCATTCCCATGAACCACAGAAGCCATATCCACATTTCAAATGTTCACTGGGAAGATCATAAGCTACAATACACTGAGGCATAAAGTCTAAAAAAATAACACACTAACAATTTCTATATTTACTTTTTCAGAACTCTAGAACAGATGTATATAATAAGCTGCAATTCGGAAAAGAACAGACAAGTCAAAAGAAACAAGTCAAAAGAAAAACCTTACTTTTCTCTTCAATGTGGGCTTTGTAAGAACTGGTGGGGAGCTGGACCGAGGACTTTCTGGCTCTTCTTCCTCCTCACTACTCTCACTGAAGCCTCTGAGGAGAGCCCTGTCACCATCACTATAGCGACGGGGCAGTCTATCAGTGCCTTCTGGTAATCTACACTTCAGTGCCTCGGGGCTCTTCTTTAGCTGTCCTCGCCAGAGCTCAACCCCCTCACTTAGTCTTCTTTTGGGGATGTCTGGCTTCCCATCCTGGCTTGGCTGCTCCTGAGAGGCTGCCAATTGCTCCTCACTTTCAGTGTATTGTTCTTGGGAGGTTTCTGATTTTTCCTCACATTCTCCATATTGTTCCTGAGGAGCTGAAGTCTCTTCCAAGAGCAGTTTAGAATCTTTATCACCAAAACGTTCCTGGGTTTTTCTGTTCTTCCTCCCCCAGCGGCCTCTCCGGGATGGCTGGTTATTTGCAGGAAGACTATCACGGGAAAGGACTTGTTTGTGCAGACGCGTAGAACTGGCTGGTGCCGTAACTTCTGGTTTCTTTTCACTTTCTACTGAGGAGTAAGAATCTTGTTCTTTGTTCTCCCGAGATGCAGACTTTCCCACCTGATTTTGGAAAATAAAACCATGCTGATTAATTTTTCAGTCTTATTTTTATACCTCCTATCTGACCTCTTAAATAGAGATAAGAAAACAGAGCTTTAAAAAGAAAAGTATTATTTAATAGCTATCAGGAATATCTCTCATGTGTTAGGCACTGCTTTAAATGCTTAATAAGATTCATTTAATCCTTACAACAATTGTATGAAGTGTTATTATTATATCCTCATTTTACAAACGAGGTAACTGAGGCACAAAAAATACAAGTAACTCACCCTAGGACATGCAAGAGCAAATGTGGAAGCTGGGATCTAAACCCAGGCAGTCTGACCCAAGAGCTAATGCTCTTAGCCACTATGCAATCGCACCTTCAATAAACAAAGTGAACAGCATTGTTCTTATAAATGTTAAATGATATAATTTACCAAATTTCTCAGCAATAAAATTTATAAACAGAGAGGAGATGGGCTCTGGAGCATGGGCAAGAAAAAGGGGGTGTTTGAAAAAAATGAAAGAAAATGTCTGTAGTTATTTTGATTTATTTTTATTCTGAATATTTAATTTCATTTTGAAAATTAAATTACATTAAATGGGCGTGAAACTGCTTATGTTTATCAAAGGAGGACATAGATTTTTAAAGGATGAAAGCACAGCTTAAAAAAAAGAACAGAGAAAGATACGCATCACATGAAGAAAAATACTGAACACTACAAAATGTTGTACAGTCCCTCATTAACCCTTTAACAGCTTGAAGACATTCGTGTATCCACTGAATTATTTAGTGCTCTATTAGAAAACATACACATGTTTATATTATTTCCTTAATGTTTTATTTTAAGGAAAGGGGATCTTCATTTCATTTTTAACAATGGTCAGAATTAAATTCAGATTCCTCAATTACTACCACACAGCTTGAACTTTAGCTGTTTATCAGGACCCTGGTAAGGAATTCTTAGTTCTAAGTAACACATTGTAACAAATTTGAAGGTCTCCTAATGATCCAAGGCTTAAAAATATACAAATAAGTAAACAAAACCCAGTCTTCCTAAAATTTCTATCACTGAAATCAACTCTGAAATGCTAATGTGAACTGTGTGGGCTTAAGATATTGTATGTAACACGTATCACAATACTCATGAACCAAAACCAGAGCCTTCTGTCATCAAAAATAGAGACTAGTCATGCCCTTACACTCATCTCTAATTCTCTTTCCTGGCACTGCGGCTCTTCGTTTTCGCCTTCCTCAGCCTCCTCTTCTTCCTCCTCTGAGACAACAGAATTGGAGACTATGACAGGAGTCCAGCGCAAACATTCTGGATCTACATCTACAGGTCGCAAATTCAGTTGAAGCTTTGCCATGTGATCCTGGATAAGTTTTTCCCGGCGGATTATCACAAATCTGGAACCAGAGCAAAGTTTATAGCAATCAACGATGTACAAGGAGTACCTAACAATGAATATGGAGCTATAATCCCCAGAAAACCATGGAGGTGATGACAAATGCTTCAAAAACTGCCCACTCGGGAGCATGAAATACAGAAATAACAACAGCCACCATATGAGATAGCTAAGAAATACGAAGTTGGACAGCTACTTCACACTCAATGAGAACAATGGATGAAGTGATTTTAACCATTCACTGTCTCACACTTCCCACCTCTGGAATTGCTGCTACTCTCCTGTACCCTATCTCCTATCCTCCATCTTTCTAGCCCAATGCCTCCTTCCTTTCTCTGTGATCTTTTCCCAACCCCTTTAGATAAGGGTGAGCTGACTTTCCTTTGACCTACATTTTACTTTGTACCACTTTATATGGAAATAAATCATGGGAATATTTTATTAGACATTATTTCTAGAGTTGTTACCTCTTGTATTAAAGGTGCTGCCAACATTAGAAAAGAAAAGCTTCAATAGCTTAGGTCCGAAAGTTAGAAGGAAGACCAGAAAATACAGTTGAAAAAAAAAAATGCGGTCAATGGTATCAAATATCACAGAAACGAAAATGGTGTCTCAGGATCACCAATGTACCACTTATATTAGTTTATGCCCTTTCACTGATAATCTGGCTGCCTCATCCAAACACTTCTACCTAATTGTCTTTGGAAAGTATACGAAGGGATGTGATACTCACTGGTCACTGCGGAAGTCCAGCATTCGTAGGTGGTGGAGTGTGGAAGTAATGTCTTGAGGGCAGATTCCAGTCAACTTGCTTAACTTCTTAATGCTGATTTGCTTGTCATTTTGGTGATAAAGGCACTCCAATATTACACTTTTCCAGTAAGCCATGTAGGAAAGACGACCTAGATCGGATAATGGTTTCTCTGGAGACCCTGCTTGGCCTTCACGCTTTGATAACAAATAACCTAAAGAAACCCCCGAATCACAAATATGTCAGAGAGCCTAAAATAGGCTAATTCACCAAAATAACAATTCCCTCTTCCACAACCAATCTAAGTAGTATAGGCAATAATAACGTCAGGGGTAAATTCCTTCAAGAAAAAGAACAAAACTGAAAAATTACTTCAACACAGATTTGCACAAGATTATGTAATTTGTATACACTGAACCTTAGGTTAGTATTACTTTGTCTATACTTACTATAAATCACACTGTTAAAATAAATCAGAGGACTTCATATTAATAGGATGCATTAATAAGATTAAGGCAATAATGCTTTTTATTTTACGGGGGAAAACCTCCCTGGCATTTTTACTTGGACCACCAGATAGCAACAGCTATATCTGAATTGTTAAACAATACAAAAGAATGCCTTCATTTTTACGTAATCCTATCTGTTAAGATCGTGGTTCTTCTGTGAGTGAATCAGATGACAATTTCTCACTTCAGCCAAAGCTCTCCTCACAATGACCTCTTACCCTTAAACTCTTAGTGAGCAAGGATGTCAGCGTGAGGGTATCCCTGTGAGTGTATGGTGGTATCTGTTCTCCTGTCTAGAGCAGGACTCTCAAGAACAGAAAAAGAAAGGCATAAAGTGGGGCGCCTGGGTGGCTCAGTCGTTCAGCGTCTGCCTTCGACTCAGGTCATGATCCCAGAGGCCTGGGATCGAGCCCCACATCGGGCTCCCTGCTCGGCAGGAAGCCTGCTTCTCCCTTTCCCACTCCCCCTGCTTGTGTTCCCTCTCTCGCTGTGTCTCTCTCTGTCAAAAATAAATAAAATCTTTAAAAAAAACCCAAACAGGGGTGCCTGGGTGGCTCAGTCATTAAGCGTCTGCCTTTGGCTCAGGTCATGATCCCAGGGTCCTGGGATCGAGCCCCACATCGGGCTCCCTGCTCGGCGGGAGGCCTGCTTCTCCCCCTCCCATTCCCCTCGCTTGCGTTCCCTCTCTCTCGCTGTCTCTGTCAAATAAATAAATAAAATATTTGAAAAAAAAAAAAGGCATAAATTCTGAAAGCATCAACAATGGAGATGGCAGAAGAAATGCAGTTTTTGTCATCAAAGGAAACTACTAAAAAGCAGTCTGTGAATGGTAATGTGGGAAAATAGATTACATTAGGAAAAGCAAATGAAAACAAATACTGTAATCACAGACTGCTGTTTGCGTATCTCAAAAGTATAACTAATTAGTATAATAAAATATTTTCCCCTAACTTTGCTACTTAATGGCATAACACATCCAAACATGAGTCCTACTTCAAAACAATATATTGATATTAAAGGAAATAATCTGAGTTGCACTCTCTACTACCAATCTAAGAAGACCAAGAAAACGTACAAAATAATCAAGGGCACATATTTCCAATAAAATATGGTCAGGAGTACAGTCTAAGGCCAACTAGAATAAGCTGAACTGGTCCATCTGAGAATTAACTTCTTAACACTGGTGATATAATCATCTGATATTTAGAAGAACTGCCTGTATCAAAATATTCCCTCAAAAATCACTTTGTTATAATCAATATAAAATTTACTGTAAGCATATATTTACTTTCTAAGCAAGACTATCAACACGTAAAACAAAATTCAAATTCTACAATGACTTTTTAGAGCTGTTTGGCTTTCAATGTTTAAGTCAGATTAAATTATTTCCTATGCCATTTATTTTTAACATTTTTTTAAGGTGCACTGCATATTTTAACCACTAGGTAGAGCCCGTAACTAAAAAATGATGTACGTATTTTTCCCTGATAATTAGGTAACAAATAAGGTGAGTGCTGTACTTCTTTAACTGTACTAACTTACACAATGTGTTGAGTATTGCTGTGAGTTAGAATTATCATGAAACTAAGTTCCACCTGTAAATTAAGAGTTGAAAATTCAAACTATATGCAACAGATCATAAAAAGTTGGTGTTCGGTATAAGCTATTTAAAAATATTTCATGTCCAATCAAAAGAAAAAAATTCATGACTTTAGGTTTTAAAGTCCCATACTGTGACGAAAGATACTAGCAACCAATAAATCATCTGCAAATCTCTAAAAATATATATATATACAGGAGGTCCACAAGAAGAGATAATGAAAAATTATTATAATCCTTACTGAAATCGATGAGAAACCTGCCATAGCCCTTACGCTGGTATTGGGGAAGAATCATTATACAGGAAACGTTGTACTTCTGTTGGCAGTGCTTTTCCTGGTAAAGAAAGTTTTAAAACAACATGCGAGTAAGACTGAATAGTAATGCTAATTATTAAGAAACAAAGACTAACAGTCAAAACCATAGCCCTGGTCCTTTGAGAATAGCATGCACATCAAGGAAAAAAATACCCCACTGGGAGGAGACAGGACAATGTTAAGTCATTGCCATTACCCACAAAGCAACCATCCCAGGAGAATAAAAATGTAAAATAAAATTATGCCATCTAATACCATCTGCAACTCAAAGACAGTATGCCATTGCCTCAGATGAGCAGAGGAATCTGAGTCCCAAACTGCAAAGCTATAAATGATGAGTCAGTGTGGCACTCCAGAAATGGGAAAACTCATCTACCACTTCAAAGACTCTCTTATTTCCTGGTCTGGCGCTACACAGGGCAGTCCCATCTCCCCATCGGTTGTATCTAACTTCACAAAAAACAACCTCAAAATGTTGGGTATAGGCCCTTTTAAAAATCAGGCAATATATATAAAATTATACTTAACTTCTGAAGTAGACAACTAACAGAAAGCTGGTACTCCCACTTAACTCTTTCATACACTCAGATTTTATCACAGGATAGCTTAAATAAAAGTACATCTTTTATGTTGTTTGACTACAAAAAACACCTTTTGTTCTCCCCAAGAGAATGGAAGATTACAGGAAGGAGAGAAAATACCCGTGAATAAAAATGGCTTCTTATTCTTATTTCTATTCTTCAAATTTAAACTAGGACGAGAAGATTTAAAATGAGAAAAAGCTCACAGAGGTATTGACTGTGTTTATTTCACAAGTTCTATCTATTATTACCGTGGGACTAGAAGTGATTTAAAAACTTTTCCTCTTGAGTATAAACGGCAGCTCATGTTCCTAGGAGAGTACAGTCTGTTGAATGTTACTAAGCACCTTCGAGCTCTTGGTACATTTCTGAATGTTCCTTCATTTTCCTTTCCAAAAAGCTAGAGGGTACCCAGAAGGTGCTGCATTGTGTAGTGTTTCCTAGTGAGAACTGACAAAGATTGTTTCAGATTCCCATGTGAATTCAAACAAATTTTAAGCTGATATACTTACTTTAGAAAAGTAGCCAACAAGGTGGCAGCCCTTGACATCATTCTGTGTTAGTACATAAAAAAGAAATGGCTCCACGTCATAATAGAGTGTTTTGTGGTCAAGAAACAACTTTGCCAAGAGACACAGGTTCTGACAATAAATGGTACTCACATTCCCATCAACCTAGAGGAAAATAATAGAACAAAATGATGAGGAAAGTGGTTCTTTAGTTCTAGAATAATAATACACATCACTTACAAATACCTGTGAGTATCCATAGTCCAGCCTAAGAGAAGCTGTCAGTGATCAGTACCTGGAAGCTATCCTTTCAACAGCAGAATTAGGGTACCTGCTATTTTAAGACAACTAAACATATAAAATACTCTACTTCAACAGAGTACGATTAGCTAGACGAGGAAATGATGACCCTTTTAAAAACTGCATTTTCTGCTTTTATAACAAGAGTGGCTGCAGTAATACCTCAGATGGCAAGCTGATCTGATTCATTTTTTAAAGTAATTCAACAAAAGATCTAAAAGCAACCTCTTCTAAAATACATTTAAGTAAAACAAGGTGTAACTAAAGTCTCTATGCCAGCAGCGAGAAGCAATGTAGTCTGACTGCCATGATCAGATTTACCCCAAACAAAGCTATTTTCAGGAGTATGAACTATGCCAGAGGCACCAAGCAGGTTCCCTAGGTAGGAACCTGGCAAATGAGGTATTTCTTGGAACCGGGTTGGCCAAGATCAGGAGCACTGCAGTGTATTTCTCCTGACACACACCTGTGTTGTTGGAGTTGCCAGAGCTTGCTCTTTTATGCAAATGCCAATGGATGCCCACATTAAACCCTATGACATTGCTATTTCAGGACTGAAACCTCCTCCACAATTTCAGTAACTTAGTAGTACTTCTTTTAAAATACACAGCAACATATGCTTAAGGTGAGCAGCAGTCTGCTCTTGGGTATTCTGAAACAGTATTGTAAACCACACCCTTCCTCCTCCCCCCAAAGTGAAGAGCTCCACTAGTGCTCCCCTAAAATGAAGGTGTAGGGAAAATCAAGAAAGTTAGAGACTGAGCAGATCCCGACAATCTGAAATTCTATCATCACAGTCAATAACAGAACTGGATACATGGCAGGTACTCAAATTAACACCTGGCGATGACACCACAGAACTGAGGCTCAGGAAACCCATGACTGACAACAGAATCACAGACATAGCCTAAGTCATATCATCATGATGAAGTGAAAAAAAAAATTTTGTATCTTTACAAAGTAAGATTTACTACAGCTATTAAATATACCTCTACAAAATATTCCTTTAAGTAGAGCAAGAGAAATTTTTTCATTTAAATACCATTTCATAGACTCTAAGATGCAATTTTATCACATCTAAACATAAACAATCAGTTGGCGTTTTATAATCAAATAGAATCCTGAGTTATAGAATAATTTATTCTGAGATCAAGCTGGTGTGACCCTGGTACCATTTGGGTTGGCCTAATTCTGCTTCTCATAACAGCTGAATTATCGGACTCAATCGTTGAGTACAATAGTAAAATAACATTTCAAAAAAATCCAAGTACAATTAGACACAGTATAGGTGGCACTACATTCGAAATGATAGGAAGACAACTATAAAAACATCTACTTTACCTCAAAGACAGAAATATTATTTTTTCTGTAAATCTCATTGGCAGGAGGATGGAACCAACCACATTTCTTCATGTGCTGCTGGAGAATAGTTCTACTTTTCATGTATTTTAGACAGAATTCACAAAGATACAATTTAGGCAGCCTGTAAATAATAATTAAACAAAAAAAGACAGGGCTTTTTATAAGACCGTAAACTTTCACAACTATCCTTTTTTGACACTCATTACTACTCAAGTAAAAAGGTGGAGAATGCTTTGTCATCCCCATTAATCAAATGAAAGAGAGAAAACAAACTAAAGATAAAACTAATTTGGTTAACAGCATCCAACTAATTAACAAGGAGGGCAAGGGTGAGAAGTAAAGATACCCAATTCAGTGATCTTCCTATTAGACTAACACTTCCCAGGCTTTTTTAAAATTTACCCACGTGGCAGACAATGAAAATCTCATATTCTCCCCTCCTTGATAATCTCTACTAAGTAGAAAATAAAACCTACCTTCAGAACACCCAATAAGTGAAGAAGATTTTTGTCAAGGTATATATGCTGTCTTCCTTTGTTTGATCATTTATCCATTTTTTTCAGAACAACATGGGTTTGGACATCCACTCATTGTGGATTTTTCTTGGTAAATACAGTACAGTAATATAAATGTAACTTCTTTATGATTTTCTTACTTTATCTTCTCTCTAGCTTACTTTATTCTAAGAATATAATATATAGTACATGTAACACAAAATATGTTGACTGTTTATGCTACTGGTAAGGCTTTTGGTCAACAGTAGACTATTAGTTAAGTTTTGGGGGAGTCAAAGTTATACATGGATTTCTGACTGTGTGGGGAGTTGGTGCCCCTAACTGCAGTGTAGTTCAGGGTCAACGGTACTACTGTGTGTCAGACCTTGTGCTAGGTGCACTAGGTATAGAGTGCTGAATAAAATGGATATAAAGTGGGTATTATAAAAGCAGACTTTATACATCTTTTTAAGTATAAAACTATAATAATACATCTTTTCAAGTTAGGACATCCACTATACTACCTCCTTCCTTCGACCCCTGAAATTCTGGCTTTCCCTCTGGTTAAATATCCCATTAAATTCTGCAACTTAAAAGTCTATTATTCAACAAGTGAAATAAAAGTTCAAATTTTTCTCTCAGATGTTCTGTTATTAATTTATATTTATACAATAGTCAAGCTATTTTAGCAGTAATTTAATAGGACTTCTTTACAATGTCCCGTTTATGAGGAGCCAGGCAAGTGACTGGATCAGTTCATAAAGTAATGGAAATAATATAACCTAAATTAAAAGTCAGTGGCTTTTATACCTATTTTAGTGTAATCCACAAGACCATGTGGCTCTTCTATTATAAAATACACACCTCATTTATCCTCAGCACAGACTTCCCTGCATCCTGAACTGTGTCTAGAACTGGACATGCCTTGGTAATCTGAGATCTGATACTATCATTAAAAGCTACATATACAAAAATACTAGATATGAGGACAAAAACCATAATCCAAACAAATTACTGCATTTCCTCTCAAATAAAGAAGTATTGAAGCTGAAGGAAATTTTAATAAACCTCATTAGTTTAGTTGCTATCAGTGTGGATAGCTATACTTTAAAAAGATTACACTGGAATTAAAGAAAAAAGTAGATTAACACACAAAAACGTCTAATTTGTTAAAGTGTGAAGACTACACTATTTTTTCAAGTACTACTTTGGAAGCCACTTTTAAAACATAATTATATTTTATCTGAAAACATTTAACATTCAACTGAGACCTTTGCCAAGGTGTATTCATGGAGCTCCAGTCCTGTATGCAATAAGTGTTTCATGCTCAAATAAGGGTGGAAAAAGGCATGTATGTGACTTTTTTCCTTCTCCCTTGGAGATTTACAATGTGTATTCATTCTTCCTACACAACCTCACAGCTTACTTTTAAAACTGTCATTCACAGCACACTAAAAGCTTCCAGGGAACTGCTGAGGTATAATATTTCTAAGTGTCTACAATATCTAATACTGGTTTCCAAAGTCTCTCATATTAGACAAACCAATACAACCTGAAATTATGGCATTAGTACAAAAGTCATTTCAAAACAAAGTACTGAGTAAAACAAATAATAACTGGCATTACAAATCGAAGTCAAGAAACAGGAGCCAAGAGCACTGAAAAGAAAGATTTCCTAGGTGACCCTTACTTCCTTTGCATGCTGCCTCAAATTCTACTACACAGAGAAGGAATGGCAGTAAGATAGATAGCTTTTTTTACCACCAGAATTAAAAAATCTCAAAACGAAATGGCCCCAATTATAAACTTCATTATCTAATGTGGGCACTAGATATACTAACAGAGTCTCAGAGCCGACCCACAACTGCCAGACTATTTTCCTGAATATGTGGATTTTGAATAATTTCTTCTTCTGAAAAGAAAGGTAGAAGGAAGTTCTCCCTGGGTAATTGATGGCATCCTCCTTCTTCCAACTACCTTACCTTTATTTACCGCTGCTAAATTCTCAATGAGCAATTCTATCTTGTTGCAACATAAAGATATAGAAGAATCTGTGAATACGGTTTCGTTTTGAGAGCTAAATATTACAACTAAATATTCCCTACAATGTGAATCTGAGCAACATAAACAAAATCCTGGGAAAAAAGGAAGGGAGGGAAGAGTGACAGGCCACTAAACTTTCCAGATTATGCTAAAGATAAATGCCAACGTTAAAAGCATCCAATTCAACTTTTAGGTCTTGGTACAGAGACATGAAAATAAAGTACAACTTATTTTGTAAGGTCTATGAAAGAAGGTCTAATTTTTAAAGCTCTCGCAGTAAGCAAGTTCTTCAAGGAAATCTAAGAAGGAATGAAATCTCTAAAAAAATTACTGCCAAGTCTTATCTGGTAAATTTTAAGTTCATGCTATTTCCTTGAATAGCAGGATGTGTGACAGTTTCTTGATTAAAAAAAAAACTTCAGCAAATCTTAGTATCTGAAAAATGACAAAGTAAAAGCAAGCATCATAATCTACTTGATTCCAAACTCAGTTCTTGCTGAAAACATTTTAAAATAAAGCCTCTTACTTTATTATAACCAAGCCCACTGGGATGACACTGTTAGTCTAAAGGGAATCATCTGATAAAACTCCTAGAAAAACAAAATGTTTTAGTACAGTACATATGGCTGAAGTTCTTTCACTGAAAAAACACATCATATAGAAAGAACATCAGATTACATGCAATGAAGTATAGTTATAGAGAGTATGAATATTCTTAGCCCTAAAGAATACTGCTGGGTGCTGCTTTTTGTCATTGTCTTCCTGAAAGAGCATCTAGGCCTTGACTATCAAATAGGTGTATGGTCGCTTTGATCAATTGCATCATGAGGTGTAGCTTCTACACCTGAAATTGATTCTAGAGTCAGCCACTCTGCTGATACCCTAGCATGTGAAGGCAGGACTGGGCCAAAACTGTACGCACTTTAGAAGCATTGCTTCCCTTACTTCTAGGATGATGCAAATATTCTTCCCAGGAACTCCTATGAGGTATCTTCTTGGCTTCTGAACATTGCCCAAGATAGTAGCAATTTGTGTAGTCTTTATAATAGGTCTACTTGTAGTAAAATTTTAATACAACAACAAAAACTCTGTCAAATATTACTTAAATCAAAGATCATGGTAAAAGCCATGTGAGATCAATGTAGATACAGATGCTATACGGAGCAGTGCAAGCTTGATGGTTAAAGGTTATGGCTATATGGTAAGAGAAAAGTGAGACTAAATCCTGGTCCTGCCACTTATAAACTGTATGGTCTTGAATATGTTTGCAGGGCCCTGGTCTGGAAAATGAAGATAGTAATATCTACCTCTGACAGAATTATTCCAGAGATATTTAGTCCAGTACCAAGCTCAATGATGGTAACTAAAGCTACTATTAATTTATGATTAATACTATGAATAGTTTTATTCTTTCATTCATTTTATTTCATCATTAATGGTCACCCAAAGACCTTAAGGATGCTGGGCTTTAGTAACTGGGGCTGTAAGTAATCTATGCATCAAATCAAGTCAGGAACAGGATCAAAAGGGAGAGGAAACTTCCCAAGCTACTTAATTACAATCCTTTAGGATTTCAATATGATCTCCTTGCAAAAAGGTTATTATGAAATAAGTTCTAAACAGCTCAGGAGTAGGATATCCCACGATCACACTCACTCTTGCCTTCAGCCCATCTATGTCATGTTTTAGGGGATTCTCTATGAAACCTGTTTGCCATATATGAGCATCACATGGCCCTGTTGGAGAAACTTAGGGTTAAAACTCTGGTTTATACTATTCAATGTCTAAGACTTAACCATACTGCTCCAAACAAAGCAGCATTATTGGCTTCACTGTTGTTGTTTCATTTTGTTTTGTTTTTTAGGTCACAGATGCAAGATTACTTAAAATACAATGCACACACAAATATCTGGATATTATGGGATATAATGCACAAGCCCACTTCCCAAAAGATTTTCCTTTTGGGATCTTTTCTATTTGCTGCAACTGTTCTGTTCTTGCATTCCCAAAAGATTTTCCTTTTGAGATCTTTTTTATTTGCTGCAACTGTTCTGTTCTTGCATGCTTTGGGATTTTGAGTTTTTTAAGAAGTGTTCAAAACCTTGAATATTAAGAAAATAACTTAGAAGTAATTTAGCACAGAATAATAAATTCTAATAAAATAAAACAAAGTAAGGCCCTAGGTTTTTTATTTGGAAACATAAGGTCTCTAAGCATGTTAGCCAACTCAAGTTTAATAGAACAAGCCTAAACTCATTTAAAATTACACATATGTATTTTTAAAATGTAACTAAGAGAATTATGAATGAAGAAAAAGTCATAATTACTTAAGAATCTATTAAACTATAGAATATTTTTTGATGGAAAATTCAGGGAACACTCCACAATGGATAAAGAAATGTACTAAATGTCTAAAATTTTATTTAAGAAAATGTCTAAAATTTTATTCAAGAAAGTTGATAAATTTTACAGTTGCTATCCCATTGCTGCTTTCCACTATGATTCTTATTTTTCTGTAGGCAATGTTTATTAAGAATAAACTGATAACCAATTCCCTCAAACCTGATAAAGAGATCAGGTTCTAGTGACAATCTTATCAGAATAAAAAACATTTTTAATGAAGCCTTTTCATATCTTAAAAGACAACAGCCTCATGGTTCCACTCTCATTCTCTTGAAAAGCAAGTGCTGAGGCTGGCTCTCTAGTATCATCTCTGAGTAAATTTCCTCTCCTCCCCGTGAGTACAAGAGTCAAGGTGCCTATGGTTTCAATCTCTCTGTACCACAATCCCTGCACCAGCTGATACGCACGCACATGTTAACAAACTTTGTTGTCTAAGTCGAGCATGTTTTGATTTGGACAGCTTGCAAAGAGTTCACTAAATAAATGATAATAATTATTTCTTTAAACCTAACGAAGAAATTAATTCCTCAGCATATTTCTTCTTGATCCTGTAATTATCTGAATATCCAGAACTCTTGAGGAATTGCCTTGAGTACCTGAGTTCTGTAAGTAGTTGAGGAATTTCCTGCCCTCTTTTTTAACATATATAAATATATAATCACATATCATGTAATCTTCTTTTAATAACGTGTTAATTTTTGTTTTCCCATGATATAAACAGAGTGCTGCCTTACAGATCTAACACAGTGTTTAGGGCTAACTAACCCTACAATAATTGGCTCTCAATTGCTTGTGTGTTAGCTTCCTGAAATTTTGCTTTCTCTTTTTTTTTTCCCCAGTCACTCAGGTCTGTGTCCATAATAACATTCTCATTCCTGTTTTTTCTACGTCTGCTTACATCTGGAAACCAGTTATCAAATTATGTGGAAAGAAAAAGTAAAAACAATACTGAGTTTTAGTTTTTTGTTTTTTTTTTAACAAATATACTAGCTTATTCCCAGCTTCTGGAAATAAACTATGTTAAAGCACTCTGTATACTGTAAAGCACTAAGTAAATGTTATAATTACCTGTGCTAATATTTTGGACTAGCAGTGTCACTAGATAGGTAAAAAGCCACATAATGAGAGTACTCTGAACATGTGTTTAACTCACAGAGCACTTATTATTCCTTACAACACTCTGCTAAATGGGAAACCTGAGGCCTAAGTAGTTTACAAATTAAAGAGAACATTAATGTGACTGCTACACTTCAAAGTTTAATTTTTTGACCAAAACTTTTCAACTCTTTTAAAAATTTCAACCCTAAAGGAAAAAAATACTATCTGACATTATTGAGAACTTATCTCCTAAGTGATTTACATGTTTTAACTCAATTTAATGTTTACAATAAACCCTATGAGGTGAATACTATTTTTACCCCCATTTTGCAGATGAGGATACTGAGGTACAGGCTAGTTGGATAACTTCTAAGGTTATACAGCTTATACATGTCAGAATTGAGTCATGAAACCAATTTGGCTTTACTAAAAATGCTGCCTCATCCCAAAAAGCTGGTGACTGATTACTTTTTATGTCTTGAAACCCAAGCTATTTATGTGTAATATTACTGCATACCATTTGTCCAATTATTCCTGGGAAAACAAACCATTCACTAAGTTTGTTAAATTATAAAAATTTAGACAAAAGGCTACTCAGTGGAACTTTATTTATACTTCAGTAGTGTGAAGTATGAAGGCAAATTTCTCTTAAAGAAAAAATGTTTCCCTGTCGTTCTGACCATGTGTCAGGTTTCCAACTTTAAGTAACAGCTTTTGGACAGGTTACAGAAAAGAAAATCTAAAGCCAACTGGGATTAAGTGGCTGCCAAAATATGCTGCTACTATGGACATTTAAAAGCCACCAGTTTCCTCAAATGTATAAAGATGAGTGGACTAAAATGTCCCCAAGATCTAGTGTTGGGAGTTCTATGAATCTAAAAACAGAAGGTAAAGGGTTTCTCAAAACATACCTTGAGTATTCTTGAGGATATGGGGAGGAGTACCAGGTGTGAATTTCATACTTCCCAAACTCAATGACAGAGGGACAGCGGACTTGTGGATCAGGGGGACCAGTCACTCCAACTTTCTGTGCAGTCAAAAAATACATCACAAAAGTTAGCTAAATTAAATCTACTGGGATAGATATTTTAAAAAGCTGAAATTAGATGTCCTCTCAGGATTCCAAGGAACAAAAAAAAGCCAGGAACAAACTAACAAGTTTTGAAATAAGCTGTATTATTTTTTGTAAACAGGGTACTCGAATGGAGAGCAAAAATGATTATACATCTTTTAGAACCAAATGCAACTGGTGTCATTCCATTTTCCATATTTAATAAGACTGCGAATATTTTCCGCAATTAAACTCACTCCCTTAATGACTTAGTTGTTAAAGAGCTGCTGGCATTTGGGGATAGAAGACAAAGAATAATTTTTAACAAGGAGGGAGAAGGAGCTCTGAACACTTGCCAATGTCATACAGACAATGCCTTACCAGACAACAGAAACGACCCACTGAACATGTGAGCACATAGAGAGAAAAGAGTGACTATTTGGTTTGGGAAGGTAGGTAATATTAAAAGAATATGACAAAACAAGTACCAAAAGTCTTTAATTCATTTTACACTGCCCCTAAAATTCCCTTCATTAGTAGCTCTTCACAGATTTAAAAACAAAAATACTTTTATACACATACTGTTATCCCTTTTATCTACCTTCTGTTCATAATGAAAACAATCTCTATGCCCCTATCTCTGCAAAAACCTGAGCCACATTATCTAAAAGAAGAATAATTTGTAAAGCCTTTATGACTTCCACACCAGCAATTTAAATATAAGCCACTGCTGATGACTACAAAGATCAGGTTTTAAAACCTTAAATTCAAGAGCAATTTGATTTGCTCTATAACCAATAGAGGAATAGATTCATACATATATACATGTATATGGGTGAGTATATTATGTATATATTACATATTTATCATGGATACCCCAGAAACCTTCATTTAAGATTAAGCATTGGGGCGCCTGGGTGGCTCAGTTGGTTAAGTGTCCACTCTTGGTTTCGGTTCAAGTCATGATCTCGGGGGTGTAGGACTGAGCCCCGCCTAGGGCTCCGCGCTCAGCTCACAGTCTGCTTGTCCCACTCTCTCCCCCTCTGCATCCTCCCCCACTCTCTCTGTCTCTCTCTAAAATAAGTAAATAAATAAAAACCTAAAAAAAAAAAAAAAAGACAACAGTAACACTGACTTAAGAGTTAGAATTTAGCCCAAACACAGTATTAATAACCCTTCATCAAAAGAATAACAAACATTATCCTTCAACTTTATGCTTTAAAACCAGAGAAATTTATTAAAAGTCTCTTGTTGGAGCTCACAGACAGACACACCTCCACACACCCCTACACACTTTCTAACAAAACAGAAAAGATCAGATACTTTTATTCACTGTTTTATGTAAATTCATTTAAGGAAGAAGGCTCTTCACTACAACTAATAGGAGAACTCTCCCTGGCCTTTCTAACCATTTTCTTTTATAAAAAGGCCAAGGGATTTATCTCAGGTTTCATACTGGAATACAGCCAAGTGAAACCTCAACCTCTTAGACATCTCAAAACAAAAGACAAACATCTATTAGTTCGATCAATTGTGTTATGAGACCAAGGAGTACTGGGGCTCTTCCAAATGCAAAAATCATTAAAAACAAACACACAGGAGGGGAAGAATGAAGGGGGGGGAATCGGAGGGGGAGACAAACCAT